ACCTGTTGTTGATTTTTGTTACCATGTTTTTGCCTTTTTCATGTTTCTATTAAATGGCTTGTTGTTCCGTGTTACATGTGTTGCATTATACCTTTTGCTATTGTAGCCATTTTCTTCTTATAGCACTCTTAAGGTGCATGTGGTAGTTATAAATAATTGATGTTTTGATTGCTTAAATTTCCTTTTGGCTTTTTAAAGTTTTTAGGTTTGAATTGTTTTCTTTTGGCATAGTAACTTGCATTCTAGTTTCATTTGCCTCCGTGTTTTAGTACTTGTCACTGTATAGCACTTTAAGTAACTTTCATATTTTTAGTATTTTCATCGCCTATAGGTTTTTACGTTTTAATTGTTAGGTGCTTAAAGGTATTTTTACATAAAGCGCCATAGAAATGCCTTTATTATTATTATTATACCCCATGGGGAATCAAATCTGCTTCTGATTGTAAAGACTGTAGCTTACAGATAATGATAGCATCCAGGCGTAAAAATGGAGAGTGGCTGTGTCTGGGTGTAGAATGATTGTTGTGAGACCAAGGTGGTCCAGAAGTAAAGGGCCAAAAAGGAGCTACATGTATGAGTGCTACAGTTATTTTTATAACTCTGTCTATCAAATGCATGAATTCCTGTCGTGTTGAAGCTGAAGGATTCTTCTAGACCAGAGGACCATAGGATGAGTATAAATTTGGCGAAAGGCTGGAATTGGAAGCTGGTAGCCTGGAAGGGATGCAATACATGTAGATAGGTGCAAGTGCCGGTAGCATTCTGAGAATGTTGAGAACATTTATCTGAATACTGATGGTACAAGAAATCATTCTGTTGAAGTGATTTCAATACCTTCTTTCTGGCCAGGTGGAACGTTAGAAGGAACAGCCAACTGTAGTACATGACATCTGAACTGTGAAATTGTCCGTCTGGACCAAGACAAGCTTGATTAGGACTTTGGATATGAGCAAATGCAAGGCCTTGAGCACTGTCAATAGCTCTGGTCATTGCTGGTTGAAGGAATGCAACTGGCTCTCTTTTAGTTGGCCAAGTGCTTGGTACTAAATGACCATCCAGATGGCATTTCAAACCCTGTCCGTGGTACCCATTGCGATGGTAGAAGATGCAGTTACATTGTCCTGAAAAGGCCATCAGTGCAGTAAGTTCATAGCTAAGATGGGTAAATGGAATCCCTTTGGAGGTGACTCTTAGCGTAGATGGGAAGACAAAGGAAAGGTTGCACAGAACGCCTGTGTGTAATGCTCCAGGGAACTAGGTCTATCACCAAGATGCCAGAAGGTTCTGATGCCATCACGTTGTGTCTAACGTTCCCCAGTAATAATTGAAACCAAGTTGGAAAATGTTTCAAGGTAGGTCAGCTGTCGTGAAGGAGCTCGATACTGAAGATGAAAAACAACATCAAATGTGAGTTAGGCAGACTGTTAAAGGCTATACTGGAGATACATGTAAGATCTGTTATAACCGTTCATCCAAGTACAAGAGCCAATGGATGTTTTGCTGTAAAAAGAATGCACAACGGTGATTCTTATAAAGACCCAAAGGAACTGAGAAAATCCAAAAGGTCTGTAGCGAAACCCTGTAGGTATGCAGAACTCCACTTCTGATGACCCACATACATGCATATGGGTACTGTACAAGTATTAGTATCCCAATGATTGATGGAAGCAGCAAACTAACCTGTCTTCAGAGACTGGAGGGAGGTAGACAGCGTTTCCATCTGAAGTCCTATGCTGTATGTAAAAGTTTGATAACGGGCCGCCATATGTCAGACCTCTACCGACTGGGAAAAAGGGTGAAGTAAGCCAAACCCGATCCAGTTGGAAGTATCCTGATCTAGTTCATTCCCTAAGGAAAAATATCCTTCTCTAAAGCAACAAACGAGTGTATGTTGAGGCAGAAGCTCGTGGTCAGGGAGAACCGAGGTAGATAAGAATTCCAGACAATGCTTCAAAGAAGTGTCTGATGAACCCCCTATGTATGAAGTTACATAAAACCACCTCTGACCCGACTCTGTAGGACAAATACTTGTTCTAAAGACTCGAAGCAGTGAAGATAAGTCAAAATTTTGCTGCATGCTAAGGATGAAGAAGACCGGTCTACAAAACTCCTGGCTGAAGAAATTAATCTCAGTAAGTTGAATCATGCTGGTTTGAGATAGACATAGAAGATGTACATGCATGCTAAGCACCGATGAGGATCAACTTATCTCAAAGTATGGAATCCTGCACCATAGTCTTGCCAATTAACCTGACATTATGCAACCGACTAATGAAAGAACCATTCATTCAAGAATGCCACAAAGCCGGAAATTTGCAACAAGTCCCAATGCAATTCCAACAATCTGGACAATAAACAGAATGATAAAATCTGCAATAAAACTGCATCACTTAAGAGAGATATCAAGGCAACTTGCAAGGGCACCAGACAAAAGAATGATTCTGTGAAGGCCCCGAGGCATAGATGGAAGAGTAAGGCAGTAATCCTTGGTCTATTGTAATAATCAACAAACCACCTCAACAGGCTGATGAATATAAACATATAATTTTTTTCTATGAAAGAATGCAGCATCCAGACGCCAGTAACGTTTGAGTACAAGTCCATGGAGTTAAGACCTTTTTTTTGTTTTAACAATCTTGTAAATGTTATCAAACTAAGGTGGCATTAGGTTGCAACATACTATCCAAAGGTAGCTTGAGCGTAGATACATATGAGCCTGTAATATGAACATGCTCAACTAGTACTAGAGGACCAACACACTGTCATAGGATGGAAAAACTGAAAGCTTACCCTAATAGCCGGTTGAGTGCTGCTAATGGAAAGGCTGTCATCACATATTCACTGAATAAGTCATATGGAATTAGAAGAGAAAACCCAGAATGCTATCTCTGGGAGACTACAATGAGTAATAGAGTAAACACAATCGAATCGGCCCGAACGTCCGAAGTCAATCTTCCGTCTGAGTCCAATTGAAATCGCAAGTTGGAACCGTGAACAGGCTCGGGAGCGGAGGCGGTCCGCGCCGGGTCGATCCCCCAGCGCCGTGGACAGTCAAGCAGCTGGTTAAGTCACAGGAGTCCTACCGGAGTCACGACGACGCGTACATTGGATGAAAAATCCATGATAGAATGGAATCTTTGTCTCGGAGTTAAGAAGGAACCCATAAATCCTTCAAAGAATGTGGAGAAATCCCACGACGAGTACCCATTGGTAACACAAGGTCGCTTAACTGGTTAAGAAAGTGCGCCCTCTGTTGGGTGAAACCACGACGAGTGCATGTACGTGTGGCAACTCCTTGGGATTATTTTCAATGTCTTGGGAATTCTTGGGAATTTTCCATTTTGATGTGTGGCTACGCTACATGCACAAAGTACCACGTGCGTGTTGATATTGCGTGGCGGTACGGTCCTTGTTAAGTTTCTTATATTTCAAATTTCAGTTCAGTTCATTTAATTCGCTGGAGAGGAGTGCCTGTTCCCGATTATTTCCTACCATCGAACACGGGATTAGACCCGGTCATAGTGGCAGAAATATCACGCTTGGAGTCTTGGTTGGAGGGTGATTTCCCGGAAGAACGACTTGAGCTAGTAGGCCTAGTAGAAGTAGTAGTAGTAGTAACAGTTTTCAGTTCCGTCTTGGCGTTTATGTCCGCCATTGTTACAAGCACAGCGAATACAGGGGGAGTGTGTAACAGGGCTATTTAAGGGACATGTATGGGCACGGAGGGTGCAGAGGCTTGGGTGCTATTTTTTCAGCGAATGTTTGTACGCATGCGTGCTGATATGCAAATGTAGGTAAACAGAGGTGAGATGTTTTCTGTAATGGAATTACCTGTCTGTCCATGCGTTTATATTTGGAGTACTATGAAGATCGCTATATTAACATGTAAATTAACGTGACATTTTGATCATGTTTTACTTGATCATGTTTTACTTATCGCCATATCACCGATATTGTGGGAAAAAAATATCAACTACGAAAAAAATAACAGCGTTGCTGTTGAAACCCCTCAGCCAGAGTCAAGTTATCATCCGGAAACCATTAACCTTTAACTCAACATGGTGACCTTGACCTTTGACCTTTTGACCCAAAACCAATCCCAACTTGCCTACTCCCAAGGGCAACCCCCTACCAAAGTTAGACACCAAAATCTCATTTCTAACTCAAGTTATCATCCAGAAACTAAGCTGCCCGGACGGACGGACGTCCGTCCGTTCCAGCCAGACGGAATTGTGGGGTGATAGCATTGTGTTCCCATTATCCCTTTTTCTAAAGATTCCCTTCTGGGGTGATGTTTTTCTATTGTGTAAAAAGTGGGGTGATGTGTCCTGAAAGGAACATCACCCCACAAGGGTGGTATGGTCAGAACGTCCGGACGTTCTGACCAGACCACCCTTGTGGGGTGATGTTCCTTTCAGGACACATCACCCCACTTTTTACACAATGGAAAAACATCACCCCAGAAGGGAATCTTTAGAAAAAGGGATAATGGGAACACAATGCTATCACCCCACAAGTCCGTCTGGCTAGAACGGACGTTCTGACCATACCACCCTTGTGGGGTGATGTTCCTTTCAGGACACATCACCCCACTATTTTCACAATAGAAAACATCACCCTAGAAGAGAATCTTTAGAAAAAGGGATAATGGGAACACAATGCTATCACCCCACAATTCCGTCTGGCTGGAATGTCCGTCCGTCCGTCCGTCCGTTCTAGCCAGACGGACTTGTGGGGTGATAGCATTGTGTTCCCATTATCCCTTTTTCTAAAGATTCCCTTCTGGGGTGATGTTTTTCCATTGTGTAAAAAGTGGGGTGATGTGTCCTGAAAGGAACATCACCCCACAAGGGTGGTCTGGTCAGAACGGACAGACATACGGACGGATGCCGCAGGCGATGACAATACCCCTCAAGCTTCTCGGCTGAGGGGTAAAAATCAGTATCACCAGCGCAACAACCAATAATTTCCATTTCACAGCACCAAACACTTCTACCTACTCTCTTCTGTTCTTCTTCGGCAGCACTGAACAGCTTTCTGATGTTTGCCTCTGATTCACCAACAAATTTATTGAGAATTTCTGGCCCGTTTACAATCTGTGGTTGTCTTGAGTTCAGCATAGTTCCTATAGTTCGGGCCATCAGTGTTTTCCCTGTTCCTGGAAAAAAAATCAATTAAATGTGTGTTATTTATTGTTTTTATTCTTGTGTTACTTGCATCATTTCTGGATCCCAAGACCAATCTTGACACAGAGTCAGTGTAAATTCACACTTGTTGCCATCATGGAGTGGATGTTGTGCACAATATCTGTTACAATAGTTCAACCATTGCTGGGCAACGCAACCAGTGCAACATTGTGCTTGGATCTGTCTACAGGTACATATATATAATATTTTTTTTGTGAGGGACAGCAGCACCAAATGTAAACTGCTATTCATCCCACCAAACTTTTCAAAACATTTTCAGGTTGCAGAATTTCTGTCTTGACTTGTATTCAGAGCACAAGACTGATACATCTGTTTCCACCGGATTTTTCTTTCGCTAATCGCTAATCATGTAATCTTGTCAGAAACAGAAACCGTAACTGTAAACATTCCTTTCTGAACCTCTTACAAATTTTCCCGCTCAAAACCTTTTCTTGACGTATTGACTGACCTAACATGTACGTATCTTTGTTAACAAATGGCCGTACACGATCAAAGACAACTGCAACAAAAAAAACAGCCAATCGACTCCCCTTTCAAAAGTTCTTAGCCCATTCTTAATTTTGATTGAAACATGAAAATAGTAAAGATTACTTAAGTTAAAAGCAAATTGCGCTTTTGAATTTTCATTCAAAATGGTCACAACAATAACCATTTGTGATCAGCATACCATGTACTGAAGGGGTGAATCTTAAAAACAAAAGTCCAATGGAACATTGTTTGTTTGGAGAACATTATTAAAGTACTACTGCTTTTGGATTAGTCAAATCCCTCAGCTCAGAAAAATGGGTAGCATTTAAATTTGTGTGCATGTCACATTTTAAAGTTCTAATTTCTCCCATGAAAGCCAAAACCCTTCATAATAATTTGTGAACTCCATGAACAACTACAATGCCTTCCATGACACCCAACTATTTCATGTGCACACACTAATAAGAATTAGTGTTTCTGTGGTCCCTTTAAGGGACCACAGAAATAGAATACTGAAACAGCATATTTCAGAATATATTCTGTTTCAATACTAAAACAGAATTGTAACTAATAGTTACAATTTTTTTAATGTTTAAATGTATAATATGTTTGTGGTTGAAGGTGCCAAAATAAATATAATTACAACTAGAGGTTGTAGGAACAACCACACGGTGTTGGGCCGTTGATGATGTTGACGTTGATTGTTGATTGTTGATGGTGATGTTAATGTTGATTGTTAATGTTGATGTTAATGTTGATTGTTAATGTTGATGTTGAGGGTTGAAAAATAGTGCGTGTAGTAATTATACAGAGGATAGTTTAAAAGAGTCAAGTGAGGATCTGCACGCGCGTATGCTACTGTACTGTATACTTATCAAGTACAATCGTTACAGAAACCCATTAAATAGCTCATATCTCTAAAAGTAAAGGTCGCACACCATTGGCGCAGTACAAAATATTGCTTGCCGTACACTCTTTACCCCAATGCGCATATTTTTAGAAAAAAAGCGCCCCAACCCAATTTTTGTGAATCATATGACGTCATCAGAAGTCTAAAATGTGCTTGCGTTAAGAAGTTGTCACATAAACGTGTACAAAACACTGGTAAACACTTAAAACACATTGGTTCATCAAACAGCCGTTACATGAAGCTCAATAGTTATACAATAGTCGTAAAAACCAGACACTCAAGAAGCGAGCACGGGGAATTCCCTTTTGTACGCAATCATAGCACACTGTTTTTCAGGAATTTCCCTTTGTATGCAATCATCCCCATTTGCTTTAAACACAATGTACGTGGCATTAAATGAACGTTTCAAGGCGTATGCGTTTTCAACTTCAAATGTCAAGGGGGCTGCAGGACATCTCCAAGTTTACTTATTGAAACGAAACCTGGGGAAGTTTTAGACCTATTACTAAAGTGCCATTTAAAGCACAAATCTAGATTAAAATTGTCAGGGTTGATTTTTTTCAGGAATTTTCAAAGGAAAAGAGGTCTTTTTATTCTAACTTCCGGTCTGATGACGTAAGCAATTTTTTTTTGCGCACAAGTCTTGTCTGCATTAAGGTCATCATATATATTAATTTTGAAGTGAATACCGCAAATTTCGCAACAGACATCCACTGAAAATGCGTTTTTTACAGTTTTGAACCTGCTGCTAGAGGACTGGAAGGAAGGGTCACGTGAATTTGCACGTACAAGATAAATTGAAGATCATGTATTATCATGTTGATTCCCACAAAATTAAAGTTCCGGTCTCTCACAGTTGATTTTATATCGAATTTCAAAGATTAAATTTATTATTTTTGCAAGTGACGTCACGTGACCCGTGATGACGTCATAATGACGTAACTGCAGAAAAGCACAACTTCAGTGGGTTGTGCATTCATGTATTGACAATTGAAGTTCACATATGTTTTCATTTTGACAAACAGTTCTGGAGAAGAATTTGTTTTGGAGAATAATAAATAAAAAGAAGAATAACTAGACTTATGTTTGTGGACAAACACAGGCTGTTTCGGTAACTTTTTTGTGACATATGTGACATGTAAAGTTTCAAGTATAAGTTCCATCCAGAAAGGAAGTGTAATTTTGTTTATAATAAATGGTGAAATATAAATATGTGATTACATTCTCATAGGGCTTTGAATTATGAAGTCACATATCACGTGATGACGTCATGATGACGTCATGTCAATTTTCATCTATTATCATCTATAACAACCTGCCGCTAGAGGGCGCTCTAACATTTTATGACGTCGTCATGACATACATGTTCTGTATCGTTGAAAGCAAGTTCACATCTTTTACCAATTTTAAATTACAAGGCACTTCCAGTTTCAACCGGAAGGAAGGGTTACGTGATTTTGCACGTAATATCAAAAATGAAGACCCTGGATTATTCTATCAATTCCTGCAATTCACGACGTCATCGTGATGTCACTTTAATTTTCATCTATATCACATCCCGGTCTAGGTACAAACAACTTTCAACCCAATTGGACCTGTAGTTCTCAAGATATAGGCCTTCAAAATATGCACTATAAATATGACGTCATGTGACTCGTGATGACGTCATCGTGACGTCACTTCAATTTTCATCTTTAACACATCCCGGTTTAGGTACATATCAAGTTTCAACCCAATCGGACCTGTAGTTTTATAGATATATACCTTCAGAATATGCACTTTTAATATGATGTCACGGGTCACGTGATGACATCATCATGACGTCACTTGAATTTTCATCTATAACACATCCCGGTTTAGGTACATACCAAGTTTCAACCCAATCAGACCAGTAGTTCTGTAGATATTGGCCTTCAAAATATGCAAATTTAATATGACGTCACATGTCACGTAATGACGTCATCGTGACGTCACTTCAATTTTCATCTATAACACGTCCCGGTTTAGGTACATACCAACTTTCAACCCAATCGGACTTTTAGTTCTGGAGATATAGGCCTTTAAAATATGCACCTATAATGCGACGTCACGTGACTCATGATGATGTCACGATGACGTCAATGTTCGGCACACAACTTCAGATGCTGGTCTAAGTGTATGCTGAGTATAAAGGCAATCGGATTATTTTTGGTGCCCAAAAAGCCGGTAACAAAAAAACCCCAAAAAACGTGTACAAATGCAATGGGCAAAATGACTTGGGGGAAAAAAACCCAAAAAACTAGAAATTGTGGTTGTGAACAACCACAGAGCTGTTCCCAATATTGATTATCTGTTGGACCCATAGACATATAAGTAGAGATCTATGTCTGTTTGCAACAGAACATAGGGCTTTTCCGCAATATGATTTGTTTTTATCAATAATACATCCCTGACTATGCATGAACATAAAATCTGTCAAAGTTAGCCGAAAATCGGCTAAAACGGTCACTGTGGACAGGATTTGACCTCAGCAACACGTGCGCTGCGGGCAACGTACAACGTATGTGCATGTACATGTACATTGTGGACGTCCTTTGCATGTTTTAAAGCAGAGGTATTGTCAACCTAAAGTTTTAAGCGTGCGCAGGGCATGTCCGAGTTCGCTTATTGCCTCGAAGCTTTGAAATGTTTTAGACCTACCCTTAAATCGACAATTAAAGTAAAAAACAATATAAAAACTGCCATGGTTGATTTTTCAGGAATTTTCAAAGGAAAAAGAGTCTTTTCATTATAACTTCCGGTCTGATGACGTCATACACCTAAAACTGTGCATACGTCTTAAGTGGGTCAAGGTCATCATATACACCAATATTTAGGCGATTCCGACAAACTTCGCCACAGACATCTATTCAAAATACATTTTTGGAAATTTTCAACCTGTCGCTAGAGGGCGCTCGAAGATTGCATGACGTCATTAGTAGATGATTTGAAGAACACTATCAGCCAAGAGACTAACCCCGTTAAAAGCAAGATCATATCTATTACCTTTTTTAAATAATAAGCCACTTCCGGTTTTGGCCTTTTTCGACCGGAAGCAAGGGTCAAGTGATTTCAGGCACACTGAATGAAATAAAGACCTCAACCTACTCTACCATTTGCCGGCAACAGAATGCTGCGGACGCGTACGGTTGATTTCTTATGCATTTTTAAATATTAAAAGTGTCACAATTTAATTGCCTATCAATAAACACCGGGTGACGTCATCATGACGTCATCATTACACAATGTTGTTTGAATTAGGGTCTTTGCTTGGACAAAGAATGGTGTAAATGAATAACTGGCAAAGAGTCGAAAATGCCCTCTGAAAATCGAAAAAAAAATTAAATTTCTATGTACAAAGTCTATGGGAAAAATTAAATATTCAAAATTCTATAATAAATCACTTGATGACGTCAGCATGACAAAAAGTTTCGGCATACATCTTCAGATGATGGTTAATGTCTATGCCAAGTTTAAAGTTGATCGGATTTAAAATAATTGCCAAAGTGGCTTGTACAATAAAAACGTGTACAAAACCTATGGGACAAAGTGGAAAAAGAAAAAGACCCAACAAAAAAAAGGAAAAAAAAAAACTTTAACGAAAACAAGAGCTGTTCCCAATTGAATTGGGAACAGCTAAAAAATCTTAACAAAAACAAAGGCTGTTTCGGCTGGTTGCCGAAACAGCCAATAATAATATTAAATTTTAAATATTAAATTCATAGAATAACAATAGGTGTTGGGCTCATGGCCCAACACCTAATTATTAATGGGTCATTCCATGCCAACTGTCTGAGTAACAGATTCAAAATGTCATGCTTTTGAGCATAGTAAAATACTTTCAAAATACATTTCATTCAAACAAAGTCAATCACCTGACTAATTTCTGAAATTTGGAACATTTGACAAGGAATAACCCTAGTGAAAGTTTGTACCAACAAAAGCAGCTTACCTGGTGGGCCATAAAGAAGGATCCCTTTCACATGTTGGGCACCTGTTTTTGTTTCAAAACAAAATGATATGCATGCGTAAGTAAAGTGTTTGAACCACTGATGCCATGGGAATGATGGGGTTCTGCCTGTCAACATTTTGGTAACCTAGCTTATTTTACATGAACTTGCATTTAAATACCAGCAGAAAATATTTAACATTTTTGGAATACGTCAGGAAAACCATTATTTTTGGCTCTACTTTTTTCTCTCTCTTCTTCTAGCTGTTACAGCACACACAGCTCTTGTTTTTATACAGATTTTTTCTTCATTTTTGTTCCCAAAGGATAACCAATCTTTAATTCTACACCCCACTAACAGGGGCCAATTCACACCATTATCATTATCTAGCACCAAACATATTGACTATTGAAGTTACTTTTAGATGAAAAAAATACTGAAATTGCTAAATCCGTTCACACAATATCACCATTTATACACAATGACCCTAAAACCTCTTTCGTCCAAAAATGCGAATCGTCATTCAACAAAGTCCTTTTGAAGGCCGTCTTTTAAAAAAAAGTGGATTTTATAAATCACACTGTTTGACAAACCAGGGTTGCTAATAAAGATATTGCGTACTGCAGTTGTTGACAGTTTTGAAACAAGTATTCTACGTCATTTTCTTTGTTGTTCCAAACAGTCAGAATACACAACTAGAGCTAATGTGCTTCCCGAAGCACGGATATCAGCCTAAATTGCTGTTTTAACGGTTTGTCTGAATACTGACTTGTACTGACCACAAGGTGACTATTGCTAAATGTGGCTGAGATCGGCAAAAGAATGTTAGAGAAACAACTATGAACATTTGACATTAAGCCCGCCGAAACATTACATAAAAAAGCCACCAAGACAATACATGAAACAGTAGTTAATGCCTGTATATTAATCCACATAAACCATCAAAAATTAATCACAGAAATACTGTTGTTTATTGGCCTCCATACTTTTTAATCTGCAGCGGAGCATCTGGCCAAATACGCGGCTACTTTTACGCAGGTGGCACTGCTGCTAAAAAACTGAAAGAATGCAGTATCCAGATGCCACTTCAGTGGTTGGGTACTATTGAGAGTGCGGCACTGTGCATGCAATTGCCTGTCAACGTGGTCGGCTGCGCGCAAGGATGGTATCTTTTTTGAATGCCTCACAACATCCACAGTATCGTGCGTGGTGGTTTGAAACCTTCCCAGAATTCCTATGTTTTTATATTGCTTTTTCGTACGTTTAACAAAATGATAAACTTGAAATAACTCGACAACCAAATAAGTCAGGAATATGGAATTTGAGAATTAGATACAGAAAAATACACTTAACAGGACTGCAAAGATTTAAAGTGTAAAACAGCATTTTGTACTTTTTCATAAAATGTCCCTTACTGACGGTTAGGTGACCACTGGCTAAATTCTGTGAACACTCTTTATGAGGCATGGTCCAAAGATGTAACTGACCAAGTTTTACATTACTTCGTTCAAAACTGTGGGAGAAGAAGCATTTTGTAGATTTTCATTAAATGACCACTAGTGACCATCAGATGACCATTGGCCAGATTATATGAACGTGGCTAGGCAGAGCACATGTCCAGATTTCATTTGACCAAGTTTGTTTGAATTCGGCTGAATAGTTAATGAGTTATTGCCATTTTAAAAATTTGATAAATTTGATCATTAGACCGCATTTGGTCACCTGACAAATTGGAAAGAAGAAAGAAACGACTGAAATACAGTACCTTTGTCATTCGACGACTAGGGTAAAGAAATTGGAGGATCACAGTACACCACAAGTCAAGGTCCTGGACACAGCAACTCCTTAAATCTCATGTAGCCAAATTATAATCTGCCACTACTGAATAATGAGGCTGGGTAATAAAATTTCTAAGCGAATTTAACCTCAAAATATTTTTTTTTTCAGATTTGAACCATCTCTTTAGACATGTCACGTAAAAGCAATAACATAAACTGGAAAAGAATTTGGGTGAAATGTCTTGGTCGTGCTAGTAAATATTGGGGGGCCTTGTCGGACAAAAGACGACTGTCAAACAACTTGTCCTGAAGTCTAGTAGCCGAATGACCGAACGACTGACCGACCAACCGAAATACCAACCAACCGACCGACTGACCCACCGTGCTGACCATAACCCACATGTGGGGTGATTTTTTTTCAGGGACATCACCCCACATGTGGTATCTATAGAAAAACATTGCCCCAATGCCATCGCCAAACATGTCTCATCCGTTTAAACAACCCACAGACGGACAGACCAAGTCAAATAGGTAGATAAAGGACTATGGCTCTCCAGGACAATAACAGTATAAATCCTGAACAAATTTTGAATGCAGGAGTTGCAGGGCTGATTGTTATGCAACCAAAAACTTTACGACAGTCTCATTTTTGTATGGTTGAACTTGCTTATTAATCATCAAGTAGTATTTTGTTGATAAGCTGGAAATGTTCTTACCCATCTGCTCCAAAAGGTCAGGAGGGAAAACTCTTGAAGCAAAAGCTCTTCTGAAGATGTCAGAAAATTCCTGTCAAACAACAGCATGGAGGCAAAAGCAATGAACAGAATGTTAATTTCCTTTTAAGAAAAGTGTTTGAATTTGCAACAACCAGCTAGTCACCCATTCTAATTCCCCCCCAATAAAAAACGCTTACGAAGTTGGTTCTGGATCTGTAGGTGATACATCTTGCTGGTTGGTTAATATCGTTACCTTCAAAACTTTTGAGTCCACATTTGACAGCTGCATATATGTCTTATGTTTTATTAAATTATCAGCTTTTCTGGGACTTGTCTAGAAAAGCCTTTTGTTTTTCAGTGATGCGGCACAGTTTTGTGGCAGAATTGTGCATTTTGTGACAAAAGCATGAAACTTGGCATGTCAGGTCTTCATGTCACGACAAAAAATGGCAGATATGGAGGCTTTTTCGCAAATTTGCGAAAAAGCCTTTCTTTTTGTTCTGATTTTTTTTTTTTTTTCTTTTTGTTGCCAAAAATCCCATAGACTTTGTACACGATTTTGCTGTGGGGCACTTTTGGCATTCATATTTGTCACACATCGTTCAAAGTCAGCATATGCATTGACCTTATTGCAAAGATGTGTCTTGAAGAGTGACGTGATGATTACGTCATCATGGGTCACGTGACGTCATCACAAACGTGCATATTTTGAAGTGCTATATCTACAGAACTGTAAGTCCGATTGGGTTGAAACTTGATATGTGTGTAGACCGGGATGTGTTATAGGCAAAAAATGAGGTGACGGTATGATGACGTCATCATGCGATTTTATATGAATATTTGAAATTTTTGACCTTTTAGCCATATCTCACAAACGCAACATGCAAAATTCAAAATTCTTTTTGTATTTGGTTCGTTAGGTATAGGTATTTGCCGTCATTATGACGTCATCAAAAATGCGATTTTTCAAAACACATATAAGGAAAGGTCCAATTGTCATGAAATTTGGTGGGTAGGTAGATAATGGTACTAATATGCAAAATCCGAAGTGACGTCACAATGACGTCATCGTTTGATTTTTTATGATTTTTTTTTTAAATTTACAATTTTATTCTGCTTCCAAAATCGAACACTTCCTTTCATCGGACTGACTTTAAACTTGGTTCAAACCAAGAACACAATGACAAAATGTGCATTGTCAAGTGTTGTCAAGATGACGGCATTGCAGGGCATGTGACGTCATGTGATAAAATTATATTTTAGGAATTATTCTAAGCATTTTGAACAACCTTTAACTGCATGAAGCACTCTGACTGCAAAAGGACCAACAAAACAAACATTTGTAAATTGCGAAAAAGCCCTGTGTTCTGTTTTCAAACAGACATACAGCTCTAGTTCAATCACAAATTATCATTTTGCTCAGATTTTATATTTTTTTAGCGAAAAGTGTCTGCTGTATTGATAAATATAACAATAAACTGTGAAACTTTATTTAGAAAGTCTGTATTTTGTGTCATTTGTCTAGTTGCTAGTGATTGCGAGATTTTTAGCAAGCGCCACGCTGAGGGCTTTCCCGATGTGCGGTTACGTGACCAGTCCTATTGTATTGATAGAGGGCGCACTATCGTGCAAGCTGCAGCTAGCTTTACTGGGCCAGCCATGATAACGATCAGGCTAAATCGAAAGCCAGGGTTGCTTTCCAGTGGGGTCAAGTGGCCACCCCTAGGAGCCAGCGATTGAACAGCCGATGTAACTCAAATCTTAATGGCATCATGTACGTTGCATCCATATCCTGCAGGAAAAGACTTCTGTGTGTGTGGTCACAGTTTGCTTGGGTTGCACAGTAGGCCTACTGCAGTGAATAGGCTGTTTCAAGGATACTAGGGACGCTAATAGCCTCTTTGTTGCTTTTCTATTCCTGAGTTTGGGTTTATTGATTTGGTTGTGAGAGATTTCTTAACTTAACAAAAAGATTCCAGTTTCTTCTGCGGCCTAATTACGCAAGTTTATTTCTACACCTGGCGATTTTGAGTTTGATTAAGTTTGAGTTTCTGGTCCGAAATTTTGAGTAAGCGTGGGTATGATTATACATGATTTGCTTTTTTTTGGACGGGAATAAGTTCTTACTTGGAGTTAACAGGGTTTTCAAGTTAAACAGTTTTGACTTATCAAGATTTCACTATAGTGCAAAAGAAGTGTTTTTTAATAATAATTCTACAGCATATCATGAATTCGGGCCACCAAAACAATGTTTTAATGACCTCTGATCTCCATTTCTCTTTATGCAAGGGCAGACGTAAGAACAACAGAATATAAGAAACACATCGATCCAGCATCACACTCTAACAGTGGCCAGTGGGCTTTGGTAAAAGGTTGAAAAATGGTAACCCAAGTCTATCTGGATAACATAGAGTGCATACTGCTTGACGTTTGCACATTATTCCATTACAGAACAGTCCCACAAACTTTGATTCCAATTGCATCATGTTGCGTCTGCCAATAAAAAAAGGAAAATGGAGGTCAGAGGTCACCTCAAAATTGTTTGTGGAGTTTGATATCATAATATAGCTGTACAATAATAGGTGCAATACCTTTCTTTGGCCTTATTGCGGTTTGGGTCACATAAAAATGGTATTTTGACGAATGAATGATATGCTGTACATAAACGGCGACAAATAAGGTATACATGTACTAAGTTTATTGACCTCTCCAAGGATATCAGACGTCAGATATAATGCCCCCACCTCTGAAAATTATTTTCATCGCACAAAGAATTAACTGTTAGACTTGGGTTATGAAAAAGTGACATTTACAAGAGTATTAAATGCAATAAATCTCTATAGATAGGGTTTACAAAGGTCATGACATCTCAGAAGGTCACTAGACTAGGTTAAATATGAAATGACCCATACATGAAAATTCTTCATAGTTCATAACATGAACATCTACCATTTTGACTTGGATCGTGAAAAAGTTGGAGTTTAAAGAGAAAATCTTGCAAAAAGCTGCAAATAAAGGTTTGCAAAGGTCATTGAACTCTAAAAGGTCACCAGAGGCCAGATATGAATCGTTCACACATCCAATCATTGTTTTCATTGTACGACATGTATAAAGATCTATGATGCAAACTTGGACTGAAGGAAAGTGACATTTGGAGAATACTTGACATAAATAGAGTGTATATATAAAAGTCAATGACTTCTCAAAGGTCACCAGAGGTCAAATATGAAATGTCTTCATATCTCAACATTTTTTTCATGTGGCATGAAGAACCAACGTGCGAAGTTTCATGCTTTTACCACAAAATGCACAATTCCTGGAAATATTGGGGCTATGCCACACCACTATTTGTTCAAATTCTTTTTGTTCTTCTTTCCCCCACCAGTTTTTCAACAATGCTGATCTAGGCATGCCATAGCCAGCCATGGTGATTTGGAATCAAAGGAAATAATTCACGAATATTTTTTTTTTTATGTATGATCATGTATAAGCCCAATCGCTTCCTTAATTTTGAGAAATAAATCTCCCCACAGAAAAAGAGAAATAAGGTCTCCCCACAGTCGTGTGGGAGGGGTCTACTAGCGAATACTTACCCGTAGAGCCACTACCTGTGCATATTTCCCTAGAAAGCGCAATACATCCGCTAAGAGTTAACACAATAGGCTATTCACCATGCCCCGCGGCCCGAACGCCATCTTAGCTTCCTCTTTTCTCGAGTGCTATGGCAGGTGAAAGTCTACATCGAGCCCTCATGAGGAGCAGGGAGGGGTGCTCTACGTGTAAGTATTCGCTAGTAGACCCCTCCCACACGACTGTGGGGGGAAGTCTACAGCGCTCATCTTACCCGTAGAGCCACTACCTGTGCAGAATAGCGCAGCAAATAGGAGGTGGGTGTGAGATGCCAATTGGTTCTATGAGACAGGGATGAAAAAGGGTTAGCAAAGCAATGGTCATTATACATGTATATGTGAAGAAATACATGGTAATGCGAGTAAGCTGAATAAAAGTGGGTATTAGCTTACAAACCCATGTCCTGTCTAGTGAGCTTGCTGAGGGCTGGCTTGTTCAGCTCGAGATGCTGAATCCCTTGCCAATATTATACAGAAACTGAAGTTCTTCCGGTACATCCCTCAAATTGGAGAACATCCTGAAGATATCATGGAATGAAAGTGTTAGAGGATTTCCAACATGCTGCTTGTAAAATGTCAATAAGTGGAACCCCTTTGAAGAAATCCCACGAGGTTGCTACTCCTCTGTCAACGTGTGCTTTAATTCCAGGAACCCATTCTGATCTAGACCGTCAGTTCTGCTCATCGGACTGGATGGCAGTCACGATCCAGCGTGCGATTGTCTCTCATGAAGCTGGTCTGTGTGGATGAACCGTTGTAATGAACAGGTTCGTTGTATCTCCCCTGATCTGTTCTATTTTGTTGATATGCCATTTCAAGGCACGAACTGGGCACCATTTTCTGTCTTCCGGAACTGATGAGTGGAATTTAATGTTCGGTATGAAGATATCAGGGGGAGAAAAGGAGTCAGATTGGTAAGGAAAGAAGTGTGGGGAACCAACCTCACTCCGTGAGGTTCCCAGCGAATATGGCCAGGTTGTAGTGATAAGGCCAGTAGTTTGCTTTGGCTTCACGATGTGGCGACTGCTAGCAGGAAGGTGAATTTGACCGACAAGTTAAGAAAAGACACCTGTCCTATAGGTTCATAAGGAAGACGTGAAAGCTCCTCAGTACCTGCGGTAGGTCCCAGGAGGGAAGAAGTTTCCGCGTAGCGGGCTTGGAGATGAACATCCCTTGGAGGATGTGACCCAAGGCATGGTTATTGGAAATTGATGAGCCGTCAGGAAAAACCTCCATGGACGGTTGCAATGGCTGATTGGTAGTTCTTGTAGGTACAGAGAGGCCAGAGTTGAACAGGTAGACGAGAAAATCACCAACATCGGTTAAAGAAGAATTGACCGGTAGCTTTCCGTCTGCACCATCTATAAAAATGTCGAAATCGGCTGTTGTAGACCTTCTGGGTAGATGGTCTCTGACTCTGTGCCGCAAATGTGGCAGCTTC